CTATGTGCCAGTGTGCTGGACACATCGGAGGAATGTATGGATTGTGATAAGAGATGGAAGAGCCCCCAATAAAAGTATATATATATATATAAAGAAGTCTGAAGGAGCGAGGTCCAGGCTGTAGGGTGGAGTTCCCAGTGAAATCCTTAAAGGACAGCCCTTGCTACAAGGAACGAGCAGGTGTATTGTTCTGAGGGGCGTGGGTGGTGGTGTTCAGCGCATCCTTCCTGCTCTTTTTCCCATCAGGGCCATTTTCAATGTTCTTAAACGATCTTCCTAAGAAGTTCTCACGATCATCCCATGTCCTTGTAAGAACATCCATCACTAGAACTCCTTTGGAATGAAAGCAAAACACAACACGGTCACTTTCTGAGCTGACCCCTCAGCCTTGAATGTAACTGGCCCCGCAGGTCCCATCAGCGGTGACTGTTCGGATTGGACTGTTTCCTTCTGAAGGCGCGTTCACGAGCCTAAGACGTGTAGTATGACCAAGAGAGCTTGCGCAGGGAGTGAAGAGATGTGCAACCCAGATAACAGCACTTTCTCATTTACCCTCGTGGTTTTCGCTCTTACATTTGGGTTCTCAGATCCATGTTGAGTTACCTTTTATATACACGTGGGAAGAGGGGCCATACCATCATTTTCAAACCTATCTTTGAAAAAGGATTTTAAACAGATGACAAATACAGGCTACTTTCTCCTATTTAAAGAAGAGGGAGAACTCTGATGTGTTGATCTGCTGCCAACCAGGTTTTCCTGACATGGTTTCTGTGACCCACATGTTGGGTTTAAAGCTCTGTATCTCAGCACACTCTTAGAGCCTCCCCCCCCCCCCCCCGGCCCATGATGACCTCGGGTTAATGGTCTCCCTTATCCGGATGACATGTCTCTGTAGTTGTCTTGTCCTTGTCCTGTGGAAGACTCAGTAAGTGCTTTCTTTTAAAAAAGAAGCAGAGAAGCTGGATAGACACAGAGGCTGTAACAAAGGGCTCAGATATAACAATTGTCCGGATGGTACCGGCTGGGGCATGGCTTCTGTCTGTGGTCCATAGGGTCACAGTCTCTATGAGTTGGCCCGAACTTGATACAATCTGACAACATTATTTGAAGAAGAAATAGAAGGAGGAAGCGGAAAGTGGGGAGCAGGAGGAAGAACAGTCCAAATTAGGAAAACACTTTTTTCCCCTGATGCCCTGCTCCCCTCCTGGGCCCTCTACCCATGCCACATAGGACTAAATGCGACTTCGAAATCCAGCTGGGCTGTGACTCAGAGGGGTAGGGTGTCTGTGGGTTGATGGGTTGCGATGTCAGACTGCGGGGGCTCGAGTCTCTGGCCCCGTGTGCTCAGCTGCTCAACACCAGCAGTCTGATGGTGGGGAAATTGCTTAAGCTTTCCTGTGTCACTTCCCCGAGGACTGCAAAAGAGTTGTCAGGATTGAATAAAAATGTTAAATACTCGCTGCTACTGAGTGAGCCCTCGGAACATTCACTCTCCTTATAACCCATAAGAGCCCCGGTGGCGTAGTGGTTATGCAGTAGTGGGCTATGATCTGCATGGTCAGCAGTTCGAAACCACCCACAGCTCCGAGGGAGAAAAACTCAGCTTTTCTACTCCCATCCACAGTTACAATCTCCCTGGACTTGACTGGATGACCCTGACTTTGGTTTGGAGTTTTGAATATAGCCCATAGGGCCTCCTCATCCTTACACGTGGAAGTGTGCTGCAGATTAAGGAAGGGCAGAGGTCGCTTGCACAAACGGAACTCATCTGTGTGACCACAGTTCTGTTTTCAGCTCCCCCTCACCCCCCCTCTACTCCGCCGGAAGACACCCATTTGGCCTCGCCGCGGGTCAGTCCCACGCATAGAGGAATCAGTGGCCTGTGTTTTGTTACTGGAGGTTAATCAGCTCTGCGGGGGCCTAGAACTTTTTGCAGCGGGAGTTCTTTCCTTCGCTCAGCACAAGGCCTTTCGAGAGGCAGTCCTCTTGCTGAGCAGATGGAGAAATTCATTTCTTTCTTTTTTTAACCAGAAAGAAAGGGTTATAGTTAGTGCAAGGGCTGTTTGTTGGCCTTTAGGAGTATTTTCCGGTTGTGTCTGATGGGGCACCGAGCCCTGGCCCCAAAGTCTATTTTTGGTAGTCCCTGGGGACTTCATTGCTCTGCTCCCCTTGCTATTCGGTTCCACACCCTTAGTGTTTTGCCTCGGTGTGGTGGGATCAGATCGGGTGGAATTCCCACACTGTCTCCAGTGTTGTCCCCTGTAGGGCTATGGGTCAGTGAGGGATGTCCTGTCTCATAGTGGGGCTGGCCATGTGGCCTTTTCTGTGGATTGGCTGCTCTGAGCGGGAATATCGTCCTCAAGGCTTGGTGGGCCAGGATGTGCTCCACTTTCTCTTCCTCCTCCTTCATTTGCTCCTGTGTGCTCTGCTCAGACATGTTGCTCTCCCTGAGCTGCTGATTCAGTGCTGTCCTCCGAAATCAATTATTCTGGGGGGAGGGGCAGGTATCCACGTACCTGGGATTGGGGCCGGCCCCCCAGATGGAGAATTCACTTCTGTTTCGTTGATGAGGCATGCTCTGTGGCACGGGCGGGTCCCCCTGTTGAACCTTTCACAGTTGATGGCCATTGGTCTGGCTGCCAGTTTTGGGTCATGCGGAAGAAAGTGTCTGTGAACAGATCTTTGTGCAGACTCGTGGTTTTGTTTCTGAGAGTGGGTGATCCAGTCGCCCGGTGCCGGCTACGCTTTAGAGAAGAAGCAACCAGATCTTTGTCCAAAGTGCTTTTTCCCCCCTCATGCCCATCAGCCACCATGAACATGAACTCCCTTTCTCCCTGCCCCTCCCCCCCAACCCTGAGAACCACACATCAGCTTTGGTTTCTGGACATTTCACATCCATGAGATCACTCCTCAGTGATCCTGTTGTCACAGGACTATTTCGCTCAGCACAATGTTTTACAGACCCTGGTGGAGTCGTGGACGAAGCGTTCGACTGGTAGTCACAAGGTCAGCAGTTCAAATCCACGAGGGAGAAAGAGGAGGGTTTCTGTTGAAGTAAAGAATCATGGCCTGGGAAACCCAGAGGGGCAGTTCTAGACTGTTCTGTTGGGTCAGCATATACTCAACGGCAGTGAGTTTGGGGTTAATATCCTTGTAGCGGCAGGCACCAGAACTTTATTCCCATCTATGGCTGAGGAGCTGAGTCCTGGTGGTACAGTGGATAGGGATCGAGCTGCAAGCCACCAGCACCTCTCCGGGAGAAAGATGAGGCTTTCGACTGCCATGAAGATTTGCAGTCTCAAAAACTCACCTGCGCTTGTGTGCGCACATGCGTGTGCAGTTCTACCCCGTTGGATGGGGTGGCCATGAGTCAGAATGGACTTCATGGCAGTGAGTGTGTTTTTTAGTATTACATTGAAGGAGTCCAGAGGGGATAGTGAGTTATGAGTTGGGCTATTAACCACAAGGTCTGCAGTTCAGAGTCACTGGCTGCTCCCAGGGAGAAAGATGAGGTTTCCCACTCCAGTCAAGACTTACAGCTGTAAGAACCCACAGAGGCAGCTACCGGGTCCTGTGGGGTCGCTCTGGTCAAGACCCTATGGATGAGACCATGCTACTGCACGAGTTTGTGTGGACACTCTGCACTCTGTCTACCCAGGGGCCTCTGTGGGTGTTTCCACATTTGTCCCTCGTGGGAAGTGGGACAATGAGAGTAGGTGGTGGGCAGGCCTGTTGGCAGGGTGGCCTTCCCTTCTGGCTGTGTTGATGCGCAGGATGGAGATGGCCCGTCATATCGCACTCACTCCTACAGCCAACTTTGCTGACCAACTGCTCCATCGTCCACCAATCACCACCCTCGTCGCGTGCGTTTTCCTAAGGACTCAATGTTTGGATCTGCGGGGTGGTATTCCCTCCTGCGACCCAGCCCTTGGCTGGCATCCACTACCCTGTGGAGGGGACCCCTCCGTTCTCCATGAGAACCACCCAGGCTGCAGGTTACATCCTTTGGGTCTCCACTGGCAGGTACGTCAGCGAGGGCTTCTCCAAGGTCAGTCTCGGGGAAGAAGCGTCCAGGTTGAGCGTGGCCGGTTGGATCTCACTGCACGACGGGTGCTCACCGCCCT